TGTTTCATTTTGTCTAATTCTTTACAAACTCAGTTTTCGATATTTTCTTCTTTTCACTTTCATTTCAAAGATAGAATAACTGCCGATTTAGGTAGGGGAGAAAAAAAATGTTTATTGCATTCCTTAAAATATTAATGTATGCAATGTCGTTTAACCTTCTGTAAAAATATCAGGTCTTTAAACAATAACTTTTACTTCGAACATATTTTATCTTTAACAAACTCGCAAAAATATAAATTTTTGAACTACACATTTTTATTAACTGCATGATTTAAAATTATGATGAAACATTCAGTCTCCTTTAGAGAAAGAAAATCAAATTCAGTAAAACATGTAATTTGTTTTGAATTTCAAGAGTGAATATACTATAAACTAAGCTATATTACGGGGGGAAAATTATTAACTGTGACAGGAAATCAGCATATATTTTCATTGAGATTTTTGGTGTTGTGATAATACAACAGCAACAGTAGTTGGGAAATTAGTCACAGCTGAGGCAATGATTTTATTCAGAGTCACAACTATTTCGTTTCGTATAAGCAAAGCAATATGAGTATTGTTGTTCTTCCAGCATTATAGCTTAGCTACATACCTTTTCGTGAAAGAAAATGCATGAAGCCGTATAGTTTGATTTGGTTTATTATTAATTGGTAGAGTGGAGTGAATGTGAGATGAAAAAGAAATTTTTTGTTATATATAAAATTGCAATTCTACTGGTAAGTATTTAAGGCACTAATTCTTAATTTATAATTTTTTTTCATGAAGATTTTATTAGTCAATGTCAATCTGTTTCCAGAAACAGAGGTTATTATTAGATATATTTAGTTTTCATAATTTAAGCACTTTTTAAAAATAATGCATCCACTGAGTATAAAAAGCGGAATCCGGCTTGATTTTCGAACATTATTTAAACATCAAGGTTTTTCCCATTCTCAGATTGAAAGTAACGCCTACTTTCTTTTGGAACGAGTTATACTAGTACTTGAACTTTTTTTTATCATGTAAAACAGGGGTTTCCAACTTACATGAGGACTGGGGCTGCAATTAAAAAGGCCAGTCAAATGGCGGGTCACAAGTTTATCCAAAAAATTTTTTCCGACTTATTAGGAATAATCTAAAAATTAAAAAAAATTCTCGAGCATCTGGAATTAAAATTTTTTTTCTTTTCTGCTCAATTCAAAGAATTTAAATAAAACACGATATTCATTACCTCCTTGATGCGTTTTAAAATTTACAAATTAAAATAATTTCGCCCAAAATGAGTGGTTTAAAAGAGTTAAATCGGAGAATTTCTTCGAAAAAATTTCTGATACGCACATGCTAAATTATTTTCACAAAATAAAAAAAATTTTTTTGCACCGTTGGTATGTAAAATTTTGCAGAAACGAAGAAATTATTATTTTTTTTCTTTCTTTTTCATTTTAATTTTTTTTTTGAAGCGAAAGAAAAATATTTTAAACCCCTATAGTTTTTTACGAAAACTGTCCGCAGAAAAATGACAACTAATATATTTTATTTCGCGGGCAACGAAAAAGGCTTCACTGGCCGGAAGCGGCCAGCGGGCAGTCAGTTGGTAACCACTGATGTAAAACCTATAACAAATGAAAATTGAACGGTGAGCACATATTTACAATTATATTATTAATTTATACGTGCTATACCTGTTGTATGTAATAGATAACTAATTTTCATTATATTTACTTTAACTTCCACTGAGTACCAAAAACAGAATCGGCTTGATTTTAGAGCATTATTTAAAAGCATCAAGGTCTTTCCTTAGTAACGCCTCCTTTCTTTTGGAACGAATTTTACCAAAAGTTTTCTAACTTTTTCTTATCATGTAAAACCTATAGCAAATAAAAATTGAACGGAGAGCACATATTTATAGTTACATTATTAATTTAACATAATAAGTGATACACCTATTGTATGTAATGGAAAACTATTGTTATAACAGTTATTGGTATATCTATTGTATTTCTTAAATAGAACAAAAATTTTACGGGAAATACAAGATAGTATTTTTCTTTTTTTGGTCATTTTAGTTTACACAACAGATTTTTTCCTCAAAGTTTTTTTCGGTATACTAATTTCTGCTAGCGCTCACACGAAGAAAGAAAAAAAATAGCTAATCAACTTATAGCGCATATTAAAGATCCACGATATGTTATTTAATAAATTTAGCGTTTCTTCATTACATTTATTATAAATTTGTGACTCCTTGATCGAATTCGTTAGGGGAAGAGTTGCTGCAATCTGGAATATATAGTACCAGTAGTTTGGTAAAGAGAATGGACGGAATTTTGGAACTCTTTAATTTAATTTAAAGATGTTCATTCATGGATTCCATTCCTTTTTTCTCTCGCTCCTTTATTCTATATCATAAAATGTTTTCACAGTTAATGGTCGTCTGACAATGACAGCTAAGGTGAAAGAAGAGCACTTTAAGTAGCATAATTAATCGAGGCAATTAATGGTTACAAAACTAAATACAATATATTAAATGCTATAATTGAAAAAAAAATTGACCAGCGCTTATTAACACTAGGTTTACGGACGTTTCTTATATACCTATCTCTACGGACACAGGTCAATTTGACGTATGAAAGAATTGTGATTCTTAATTTAATAAATTCAATTTAGTAGATTTTTATCCACCACTGTTTCTAAATAATTCGTTGGCGCATGTAATTCACCACTTCATATTTCAGAATATACTTTGTTGTTATTTACCTTTATTTAAAATTATTTTCGCGTGTCCGGAGCAGTTGGCATCTCNGAAAAAAAAATTGATCAGCGCTTATTAACACAAGGTTTACGGACGTTTCTTATATACCTATCTCTACGGACACACGTCAATTTGACGTATGAAAGAATTGTGATTCTTAATTTAATAAATTCAATTTAATAGATTTTTATCCACCACTATTTCTAAATAATTTGTAGGGATATATAATTCACCACTTCATATTTCAAAATATACTTTCTTGTTATTGACCTTTATTTAAAATTATTTTCGCGTGTCCGGAGCATTTGGCATCTCTGCACTTAGCCAATGTATATGTATACTATAAAAAAAAATGAAGATCTGAGATATATATTTATGAAATATTATAGTATTTTATGTTTGAATACTCGAACTAAGCAACTGAAACCTTCAAAATCTGACACTCTGACATCAATTGACATTCTGCGTTTGTTCTTAATATTATTGCTTATCGGCAACAGTTGTTTATCACTTGTTTTATTTGAGATAACGAATCGAAGCATTGTCGGTACATTCCTATTTATTATTGATGTGATAATTGCTTGTTTACTTAAACTTTTGTCTAAATTATGATCGAGTCAAATTGACGCATATCCGTAGAAATAGGTATACCACATAGATAATTTCAATATTTCAACGCTTTTGAGGTAAATAGCATGCAATATATATTTACTTCGATCAATGGTTAAAAGTCATTACAAGAGATAAAATAAAAATTCAAGCGGGTTTTATAATTTTCCTTACAAAAGTCGAAATCCGTCAAAATGACGTGTCCCGTAAACCTAGTGTTAACGGGATAGTTTTCAGGCCTACGACGAGAATCCCACAATATTATAAGCTTATTGCAAAGAGCCGGGTGAAATAAAGACTTGCAAAATGAAGTTAACATAAAATTAGAACTAACTCTGTCTTTAGACAAAGCAACGCAACAACATAGTCAAAGCTTATTGCAATAAACTTGAATTAATTTAGGCCGACAGTGTTATTCTTCGCATTTCCTAATTAGCCTAAAGGATTATGGGATGATTGTAACATGTGTAAATATTAAAATTATAGAAAATTCTTGTGAATTTGAAAAATATCGTCAATATTTAAGAAGACCCGGATTTATAAAATCATAGACTATTTAAGTAAACAAATGTATCTAATAGTTAGTGGTTACAAAACATCAATAATTTGCCTTTAGCACTCTAAAAAAAATTATAGTAAAACAACCTTTTAAAGTTTTAATTGGGAAAATTTTCTTTCATTTAATAATATATTTAAAATAAATGCATCTAATAGTAGTCTTTCCAAAATATCAATAATTTGCCCTTAGCACTGAAAAAAAAATCATTATAAAATTTCAATTCTTGTGAGAATTCTCTGCTATTAAACACGTTCACGCCGGGGTGACCCACCGGTGGGTCACGCTAGATTGTCTCATCGGGCGGTGCACCGGAGTAAAAACTGGTAACAAATAAATTTAATTTTTTAGTTTTTTCCCGAGAATAATAAAAATCCATAACTACCAATTGTCAATTTTAATATTGAATTGCTTCTTCGCCGTGATAAATTTCCTTACAGTGAATTGTTATTGTTGAGAATAGATTAACTCCTCCCGAATATTATCTAATATTGAAATAGTTTTTCTAACAGTATTTTCTCTTTTCCGTCCCGCTTTCAGACGCAATACCCGTCGTGAACGTGTTAATAACATATTTAAAATGTATGTATCTAACAGTAGTGTTTACAAAACATCAATTATTTGTCTTCAGCATTATGATAAATAAAACATCCTTTTTAAATTTCAATTCTTGCGGGAATTCTCTTTCATTTAATAAGATATTTGAAATAGATGTATATAATAGTATTGTTTCAAAAATGTCATTTGTCTTTAACACTGTAAAAAGTGAAATATTCTATTAAAATTTCAATTCTGGTGGGATTTTTCTGTCATTTAATAACATTTTTAAACTTCATGTATCTAATAGTTAGTGTTTCCAAAATATTGCCTTTGACTTTGCAAAAAATAAATCACTGTATTAAGATTGAAATTCTTGAGGGAATTTTCCTTCATTCAATAATATATTTGAAAGAAATATACCTAATAGTAGTGCTTTAAATATATCAATCTTTCTATCACTTAAATATATCAATCACAATATATCAATCACTTTAAATATATCATCATTGTGTTGTAAAGAACACAATATAAATTTTTGTGTGTATATACGGGTGTTTAAGCATAATATAAAAGCACAAAAAGTTTGAATTTTATATCATTCAATAATGTATTTAAAATAAGTGTTTTAAGGTTTTTTTTCCCAAGTGTTCCTCTTTAGCAATGCAGAATAGAAAACATGTTTTCAAAGTTAGAAATTTTGTTTGCATATGAATTTATAAAAGAACATAAAAAGTTTGGTATTTCACTGGCATTTCCTGTTTTCAGAATTTTGTAAACAGTTCTATGTATATCTGAAAAATCGATTTGTTGTTTGTTTATATTCTGAGTGTCCATAAATTTTTCAAACTGTTCTGCAATTTTCAGAGCCATTGCTTGAATGTCCAAATCAAATGATTCTTTATTGCGGAAATGATATTTTTCTTTCGTAAGCTTTCTTATGAATAAATCTAATATAAGTATCAAATTGTTAGCAGTATTTGCATTTAAGTATAAATTAGCTTCAGGCTTAATAAAATAATTTTCATTTTCAATTTCCTTCGGCGTACCAAGTGCAAAATTTTCTAACCCGTTAAAAACTCTGTTAAGATAAAAAGAAAAATCTCCCATCCAGTCGTATGTTTTGCCTGGTTTGCTAAAATCATCAACATTTACTGAGTTTCGGTACTTAAAATCAACTATCTTGATTTTGTCGAAATATGAGCTTAACGCATTGTAATGGCGTCGGTAACGTATGGGTGGAACGCACGAGCTGCGTGACTTTGATTTCGGTTTTTTAGAATGAATTTCTTCATTTTTCACGCAATCCTGCACTAATTTAAAATATAATGAAAATGTATGCTCAATAACTTTTTCTTGGGACGGGTCATTGACCAATAATCTTAGCAAATCGATTTTACCTTGTTGCTCTAATATCTCATACGGCGACATGTCTTCGAAATCTTGGTATTCTTCAGAATACTTATTGGAGAGATAATCATATATATCATTCATCAAAATTTCGTAAGTTAAATTGATGTTTTCCTCATACGCATCAGAATCAGGATCAACATTTTTCGGATCATGCTTTACGAACTCTTTGACCACAGGCAAATCGTACTTGATAATGGCTATATGAATTGGCTTACGACCTTTTTTATCCACAGATTTAGCATCAGCTCCTTTGTTTAATAATGCCACAATTACATTTTGCTTCCCTAAATCAGTTGCTAAATGTAATGGAGTAGATCCTTCAGGTGTTTTTGCATTCAGGTTTGCACCTTCTTCAATTAAAACGAGAAAGGTTTGAAATCTGTCTGAAGAAATTGCAACGTGCAGAGGTGTGAGACCTTCACTGGACTTTGATTCCATGTTAGCACCTTTTTTAAGCAACATTGTCGATACTTTTGGATCCGTATGCATCGCAGCGAGATGAAGAGGAGAATATCCATCGCTAGTTTTTGCTTCAATATCTGATTCTCTATTAAGCAATTCAGCGGCTACGTTTAACTGTCCATTAGCCACCGACATATGTAGAGCTGTGATGTTTCCATCTGCAAGTAAGCTTAAATTTATGGCTTTTAGTTTCAATAATTCTAAAGCAGCCCATTCATTTTGGAAATAAATTGCAGTATGCAAACTAGTCCAATTATTTTTTGCTGCTGAAGCATTAATGTCAATTCCATCCATCGATGTAAGGAACTTAATCATATCTACATCACCTACCATCGAAGCAAAATGTAAAGCTGTCATTTTTTTGTAGTCATTTTCATTTATATTTACTTCCTTACTATGTAGTAAAGAATTTGCTACGTTCAGATCACCATTAACTACAGATAAATGCAGAGGAGTTAATCCAGTCAATGATTTGGCATTTACATTAATACGCTTGCTGTCAATCAGTGTACGAACTATTTCGGATCCTCCAAGAGTGGCATGATGCAAAGCCGTAAATCCAGACTCGTCGCTTTCGTTCAGATTAGTACTGTTACTATCAATTAAAGTCTGAACAGCTTTCACGAATCCATTTTTTGCTGCAATGTGCAATGGTGTTAAAAGTCCTGAATCAATCTTCTTATTTCCATCAGCTCCATGATCCAGCAAAAATTTTATGAATCCCGAATAACCAGATTCAGCGGCGAAATGCAGAGGGGTATAACCTTTCTTGTCTTTAACATTCAAATCCGTTACATTTTTGCTCAATAAAAATTCCATTGCTACTTTTTCGTTACCATTTTTTGCTGCGGCATGCAAAAACCCTCTACCAAACTCAAAAACAGCATTAGGGTCTGCGCCAAGTTCTAACAATTTATTCACTTCATCCAGTGCCAAATCTTCGTCTATTCTACCAGCTGCATTGTAAAGATCTCGATTGATATCTTTAAATTCGGTTTGAGATTCTGACAAAACACCCACCAACTGAGGCTTCTCATCATCAATTTTTCTAAAAATTAATCTGGTTCTCCTTTTATGATCTACAGGAATTGTAAGGGTCGGGCTGGCCTTGCCCTGAACCGTATATGGTTCAGACCATTCACTAAACTTGGAATATAAGCCACCGTTCGTAAGCTGAACAGCATATCTAACCTTAGACCTGTCTTCCCAATCGCCAAAGGGAGTTTCAATTAAAGGAGGTATGAGGGATATTTGAACAACAGGTTGAGGAGTATCATTTATAAATGGTAATTCCATGTCTTTGACTTTAATTTTAAGATTCACTAATTTTAGCAAGCCACCTGATACTTTTCCATGAAAGTTATTGCTACTTTTTTTCATGAAATCCTTGATTTTTACTTCAGCTAAAATATCAATTACCTCGTTCATCAATGCTTTTTTGTTAAAACTACTTATAAGAGAAAACTTAAAGTCATCAAAAACAGTTCTTATTAAATCAAGCTGCGTGTTGAATTCCTCAATGTTCCCCTTTTTGTAATAATAATCGGCTAGATACGAATGCTGCTCCATTAGAAAAAACATTATAGACACATACGCTTGCGTACCATAAAAAAGTGCATAAAGTGCTTGAAGAGCCTTAACATCATCTTCGTTTTTAGGAATGGCGTACTCATTTTCTTCGTCAATAATTTCATACAACGCTGATTGCAAACTATCGCCTCTAGGGGTTCGGGATTCTCTCAAATAATCAAGAATACTATTTGGCTCTTGAAGTTTAAAGACATACTCGTCCGGCGGCAGTCCCTTAATTCTTTCTCTTTCATTTTCGAAATATTGCACGAAATTGTTGATTTTCACCACTATCTTTTTTATTTCATTGTTCTCCATAGCTTGCAATATATGTTTAAAGCCTTGTTTCATTTCTCTTCTTGTCCGTTCAACGCTTGCAAATGTCTTGCTGACCAATGCAGATATTTCTGCCAATGCCTCAGCGTTGTCTTCTAGCTTCCGGTCAATTTCATTAAATCTCTCTTTCATAACACTTTTTATTTCATCGAACGGTAGTGAATTGCAGTCTAAGGCCGTAGAAGCGATATCCAGTCCAGCTTTGGTAATATGACCTATTATAGATATTCCAGAAGCAAAAATACTGGCTACGGTACCAATAAGGGGAATTTTTTTCACATCATCAGCAACACTATTCACCATATCAGTAACATGAGTTCCATACTTTAGTTTCTTACATTTGTCTTTCCTTTCTTCAAAAGTCATTCTTTTGCGCCGACGAATTTTGGAATATTGGTTTTCAATAGCGTACATTTTATTCATGTTTACGCTATATTGGGTATTACTAAGAAAATATTAGAAATCAGACAATCAAAAAGCTCTACATTGTGAATAATGGAAAAGCGATGCATTCTAGTTTATATAAGAAACGGCCACCTGTGGAAGTTATTCGAAAAAATATGTTTGAATTGTCATTACTCAAAATAACGTCTTACAAGAGATGTGTCATCTATCTTGATGAACAATGAAATAAAATGTTCTGCTGAAAGTTATTCTTCAGAAATAAAAATTGTATATTGCATTGTATCGAATAAAATATTCATTTGAATGTCATGGTAACTTTGCTTTTGACATTTAAATCCGATTTGATATATTATTTGTCAGGAACATTCTGAGTTAGGTATTTCTCGGTTAATTTTATTTTATTTTGATCTTGTATAAATGTGGCATTACTGCTTCATATAATAATAACAAGTTGCCGAACACTTTCAATTTGATGAGCATGTTCAAGAAATTCATTTTTTTTTTCAAAAAAATTGTTTTCATATGAATTCGATCATCAGTCGTATGCTTAAAAAATAAAAATTACAACATTTTGTCATATTTTTTAAAGAAAATTTTCGATGATTGTAGCATTAATTTGAACAATACTACGTTTTTTTCTCTCTTCCCAAAAAACAAAAAACAGTTGATATGCAATTTAGAATGTACTATTACTGAAATATTAACAGATAAATGCTTTAGAACACTTCGAACTCTAATGATGTTTCTTTTTCATTAATCAAAATGTGTTGGGCTAGTGTGTCTACCTGTCACAGGGATTTTTGTGACCTTTATTCCAAATTCGACAATCTTCAAGGATTTTTAAGCTAACTAATTTTTAAGATACAATTTCTCCTACGAATCTGATATTGAGGAATGAGAATTAGTGTTGAAAAAGAAAGTAATTATTAACACATACACTAAGAGATATTTTTGTTCGAGACGGTATAGACCAGGGGTGTCAATCTCAAAAGCTAACTTGGGCCAAATAAACAATGTTTAACTTTAGATGGGCCGCAAAAAAGAAAAAAAAATCAATGTTCATTGTAATAAATACTTTTATTTTGAATAGTACATTGTAATAAACATATATAAAGTTAAATTATTGTTTGATACTCGACATCTCTTCTCTGCTACTATCTCTCCTACGTCGGGAGAAATTTTATTGGCCGAGACTACTTTCAAAATTGGGTATACTATAGCCTACGTCACAGATCGTGTTATTCCTACTAAATTTAACTAGTAAAATATTTTGGTTTGATNAAATCAGATTTGATATATTATTCGTCAGGAACGTTCTGAGTTAGGTATTTCTCGGTTAATTTTATTTTATTTTGATCTTGTATAAATGTGGCATTACTGCTTCATTTAATAATAACAAGTTGCTATACACTTTCAGTTTGATGAGCAAGTGCAGAAAATCTTAAAAATTTAAAAAAAATTTTTTTTATATGAAATCGATCATAAATCGTATGTTTAACACTAGGTTTACGGACGTCTCTTATATACCTATCTCTACGAACACGCGTCAATTTGACGCATGAGCGAATACATATAACAGCACTTACAGAGATGCCAATTTGCTCCGAACAGCAAATATATGTTTTAAAATGGTAGTTTATCAATTGTGATTCTTGGTTTAATAAATTCAATTTTGTGGATTTTTATCCACCACCATTTCTAAATAATTCGTAGGCTTATATAATTCACCACTTTATATTTGCTAAATTTACTTAGCAGTTATTTACCGTCTTTTTTTTAATTTTATTAATGTGGCGTGACCGGAGCAGTTGGCATCTCTGCACTTAGAAAGCTATGTAATTATATATATATATATATACTATAAGAAAAAAAAATGAAATATTGACATTAATTTGCACATTAATAAATTTTTTTCTCCCTCTTCCCAAACAAACAAAAAACAGTTGATATGTAATATGGAAAGTACTATTGCTGAAAAATTAACAGATGAATGCTTTAGCACACTTCGAACTCTAATGATGGTTCTTTTTTATTAATCGAAATGTGTAGGGCCAATGTGTTTACCGGTGACGGGGATTTTTGTGACCTTTATTCCAATTTCGACAATTTTCAAGGATTTTTAAGCTAATTGATTTTTAAGATACAATTTCTGCAGCGATTCTGATACTAAGGAATAAGAATTAGTGTTGAAAAAGAAGTAATAATTAACAGATACACTAAGAGATATTTTTGTTCGAGACGGCACAGACCAGGGGTGTCAATCTCAAAAGCTAACTTGGGCCAAATAAACAATGCTTAACTTTAAATAAACGATGCTTTTCATAGAAATAAATATTTTTATTTTGAATAGTACATTGTAATAAACATAAAAAAGTTAAATTATTGTTTGATACTTGGCATCTCTTCTCTGCTACTATCTCTCCTACGTCGAGAGAAATTTTATTGGCCGAGACTACTTTCAAAATTGACCCAACGTGACAAATACGGTTTCGGACAGGAGATTTATTTCCATTCATAACAGAAAATAATTGCTCACACTGATAAGTACTTCCAAACATGGAAATAATTTCATATGTGAATTTTCGAGTATTTTCGAACCTTGCCGGTAAATAATTGCAAAATTTAGGCACACCCACTTCAATGAATTTTGCCTTTAAATTTGAGTCGCACTGAATCTCAATCACTTCCATTTGCATATAACTGGGTACTGAGTCTATATTTATTGAGAAAATCGAAGAAAACAAACAAAATTTGACTTCCAAAGAATTAAAATCTTTAAATCTTGTTTCAAATTCTATTCTAAGATTTGAATTCTTTTCTGCGTATTTTTGATACGATGCAGTATCCTTGGAAGGGTAGGTGCCGCAAGCCAATTAGAATTTTACATTTTCGAGTGCACAATTTAAAATGATCCGAATAGTTCATAAATAAAGTATATTATAATTTTACATGCTAGTTTCCATTCTAATTCACATTTCTACTTTATTTTGACTTTGCGTCGGATATATTGACTGGGTCGCAAAAATGTTCATCTCGGGCCGCATGCAGCCCGCGGGCCGCGAGTTTGACACCCCTGGTATAGACACTCAAAGGACAGCTATAGCAGTGCCTGATGCGTCATATAACCAAAAATAGAACGGCTTTAGTCGTCATTGGTGAAACCTGTTAATTCTTGAATTTATGATAATTTTGGATTCAGAATTTAATAATTTTTATCTTATGTTACTTTGGTATTATAAATTTTAAAGTACATTATTTTGTATTTCAGTATTAAATGCTTTTATTTATTTATTTATTTTAAGTCTTATCATATTTTTAGCATTATCCCAATGCCATAAATATTTATGTGGTTATCATTAAGCTGACCAGTGTCCTCTTAAACCTTTTAAGGCTGGTTGTAAAATTTCCATAGAGTCCCTTAAAAACTCACTGTTTTACTTTTTCAATTAATTATTCAAAGAACAGAAATTCTTTTCAGAGATTTTCTAACAGAAATAATTTTTGTAATAATTAAAAGAAGTAAGGAGGTGAGTTTTTGAATACTCTCTTAAAAATGTTGCTATAGTTCGTTCACCAGGAGTTGGCACTTGGCTCCGCCTTCATCACGTGGTATCGGATGATACTATTTCGATCGGATGATACTATTCTCCAGATGGTGTTCCTGCCTTGACGGGGCGGTGAGGCTTGAGCGCACCAATGACCCGGAGGGCTATGCCGGAGGTAGCTTGCTACTGGTAGCAAGTCTCCCAAGCCTGACTGGCCGAAGCCTACTGGCCTCCCAAGCCTACTGGTCAGGCTGGTCTCCCAAGCCTGACAGGCCGAAGGGTAGGTGCCAGACTAAAAAGAACACCACCAGGAGCCAAGACAGTCTTCTACCTCACGGTGCTCCGGTCTTTGGACAACAGAAGCTGCATACCCCCTCCCATGAATCAGTTGACANAAAGGAGAGAAGGTTAGCACTCCCCTTGACAAGGACGGAATGGCTTCTGGGCCTATAACACATATACGGTTATGGCACACCCGCTTACTTTGCGGGAATCTCAACCACAATTTTTTAAAAAAAGACGAGGACTCTCTCTATCTCTTCCTGGTGACAGGCAGACCAACACTTGCTTATCCCGACTGGCCTGTGGACACCTGAAAGGTCTCACATTTTCTGCCAAATCAAAGATCTTTCCTCTTTGCCCTAAATGCCAACAAAACCAGGCATCACCTGAGCACATCTTGATCTGTTTAGGGCTGGACTGGAACGATATTCATTCCTCTCCCATTCTGGTTTCGGATTTTCTCAATGTTAACGGATTCATTGATCTGGTCTGACCCCGTCAGACCAGATGGGAATTAGCAACGACAACACTATTTCGCTATTTTGGGGAGAAGGATGTGAACAAGGCTGCTATTTGGCGATCGTATGAAAAAAAATATTTATTTCGCAATCCTCATGTGCATATTTTGAACATGTGCATTGTATTTCATAAACTTGTTGATATTTCTCTCTTTTTATTGAATAGTCTGTTCTTTTTTAGATATTTTGCTGGGAAAAAGTTTTTAAATATAAATTAGCTAGAATCACGAAAGGTATAATAGCTGATGATAAAGCGAAGTAAGTGACTGAAAAAGAATTCACTGTTTGTGTTTGACCATCACCTTCTACATCAGAAAGAATCCACACGGTTTCTTATAAAATTAAAAAAAAATTTAAGTCATATATTTGCTACCACTTTCTTATTTCTACTAGATTTTATATTAAAGGGCTCTTTCGTAAACTGGTTTGCTTTCATAGTGGTCTGATCGGACTACATATAAAAAATCGTGTGGAGGCTTTGCACTCATTAGAGATTATCTCGATTTCAAGCGGGGAAATGTTTTTCCTCTTACTCCCCCTGAAATGAACTCTGCGTCCGAGGAGGTGGAGCCAAGTGCCAACTCCTGGTGAACGAACTATACCAGTTTTTCAGTTTCAGCAGAATTCTGGTCAACTTATTATCATGAACAATAAATACATACTTATAAATAATACATAAGAACAGAAAATAATACATAAGAAAAAAGTGATAGCCAACCAATTTCTTCAGCAATAGTTTATTTGATGAGATAATAGCAATAATTTGAGTCATTTGTAATACTATTGTCAATTTTAATATAAAAATAAAATGAACATATTTATAGAGATATGTGCTTAAATGAAATAAAAAGCAAAAATAAACTTTGAATGTAAATTATAATCCTGTTTATGCTTAACTTTTTTTCCTCCTTTCACTGTCCACTCCTCCAACTCCTGCGTAAATTGTACAAGTAAAGCAGTCTCTATTACACAAAGCTTATATTGACTCCTTTCGTTTAAAATATTTCATTAACAACATAACCTATTAAATACTAATATTACAATTATCATTATAAGGTAAATTTCTTGAAATCATATGTTTTACTATTTGAGATTAAAACTTCCTTTAATTGTTAAAACTAGTTTATTTAAAAATTTTGATAAATTTTCATAAAAAATAAGAGTTTGCAAGCTAGTGATTCTATAATGTACAGTTCAACTGCGACAAACACAATTATTTTTAAATGAATCTTAGTAAAATATTATTAACTAAGATAACTTTTTAAATTTTGCGGTGAAATAGTAAAAATGAAATCCCAGCCGCATACAGAATTATGGTTGCAACAATTAATTTTGAAAGTGGGAATTGTAATCGCTGGCCATTTATTAATTGATTATGTTTTAAATCGTTAACAAACAGCGTCATTCTGTAACTATTTCATACGTCGCGGACACTTTTATTAAAGAATCAAGTTAAAAAATCTGCATTCAGTTCAATCTTCAGACATATAATTAATGTGTTTATATCTTAAAATTAATTGATACCATAGCATCAAAATTGAGTTCGGTCTATTAAAATTTTTACAATACTTATTTTTTCTATGTGATACTCCCATAAAATTCAAACATCTAAATATCAGTATAGAGTTGGGAATAGGATTAAATAAATCCAAAGAAATATATATCAACTAAGTTAAAACTCAGTTTACTTTATACTATACTTATTTTTTTAAAATTTCTACAGAAACTCATAATCCGATAACTAATTTCTTTCTGTCAGATGGGATACTTTCAGGCAAAATTAATAGATAGCTCCACCCCCCATTCTTATACAGGGATGTTCCTGAGGTAAAGAGATGAACAAGGGTGATTCTAGCATCGGGAGTATACCATCCCTGGATATATGCCTAATTATTCCCTACAATTTAGATTCCTTATAATAAGCAATAGATTTTTAATTTTTTTACTACTATTTGATATTAAATTTTATTTTATTTTATTTCATAACTGTTGTTGAACAACCGGCCTAATTTTAAGTTTACGATTATCAATGTTCAACTCCGTAGCCTCGTAATTTTGAAACCAAATCCAGAAGACAAGGGAACTCCTGAATCAAGTACAGGGAAAAATTTTGCCTTCGTGAAGGACTTTTTGATGGAGCTAACCCGCATTTGCGTTACATAGTGAGGAAAACCATGAAAACCACCCATAGTTAGCCTGAGGGCAAGGGGACTTTAGCTCATGATCCATCTACCACTGAGGATAATTTGCGTCAGAACTGAGGTCGGTGCGAGGCGGGTGCGGAATTTGTATAGACCAGCCAAAGCAGGGATTCGAACCTGGTTCACTTCATTGGAAGGCGAAGTCTCACTCCCCTGATCCACCACGACTCGATATTAAAATCATGATCTGATAGTTATAACTGAAAGCTTCCTCAGCCACCAACTGCCTCAACTCTTCTATTTATATACCAATTAGTCTCAGTCGTGACAAGCAAATAATACACAAGGTCAATAAAACGCCCATGTTTTCCAATTATGCCACCACATTTGTAATTTTGTATATATCATATATTTCAATTCTCCAATTATATTTTCTCGTTCAATCTAACCCAGATAAAGAGGCAGGTGCCGAAAGGAGAGCTTGATGAATACAATAACTTTTTTAATATGTAAAAAATTCAATCTTTCATTGGTCACTTCTTAATTATTAACAAAATTAATCAAAATTCTGGAAGTTTCAAGCTTCAACCACTTTATTAAATCTTTCGCAGAGAGCACAGTAGCTTCCAGGGATGCCAACTGCTCCGCTTAGTTCAAAAGTGTTAATATGCAAAAGTGTTTGTATGCATAAGTTTATCAGGAACACATAGGTTTAAATACACATGGATACACTTGTCTGCTCTTTTGAAAATAACACTGACGACAAAAGACGCATGTTCCTAACGTATCGAAACATAAATTAAAATGTATTGCATTCTTTCTACCACGTCCTACATACCAAAGAAGTGGGGACATTTACTATTCACTCGAATGAATTTAAAGAAATCCTCGTTAGGACTATTTTATTAAATTACATAAAAGCTGTAGGGTGTAGAGAGATACTGATTGCACATTTGAAAAAAGCTGCACAAAAATATATAAATTCTGTTCAAAAAAATCTCATGAAATATAAAACAAAAAAAAATTGTTCCCCAGTGTTATCAAGTTGATAATAGATTTAATAATATGAAGGATTGATTTTAATTATTTATTGTCTTATCAGGGGCGTTTTGAAGGAGATTATATAAAATATCGGATAATTTATGTTCGTTTTCACTAATGAGTGCTTTAAATATTTTTAAATACACTTCAAAAAAATCAATACCTTTAATTGTTTGAGAGTTAGCAGACAAAGTCAAAAACTTTTCAATAGCTTCTGTAATGCGTAACGCAAAAGCATTCACCTCCATCTCAGACGTACCTTGTTCTAAAAATGGCGCGTATTTTTCTTTGGTGAATTTTCTCAACAAAATATCCAGCAATAATAACGTGCCATTCACGTCTGTATTCTTAAAACCTGCATATGTTGTTTTTAGTGTTTGCTTTGGTTCCATTGCTACTAAAGATTTTCGATCTATTAATGGACTTAATCTGCTCAAAGAGTCATCGTTTTGTCGAAAACTATGCCCATATTCAGTTTTATTTCTGGCCAACTGAAGCATTTCATCTACTGTTGATTCTCTAACTGGATCTGTCTTCATATCAATGTTGCCAGCTGAATTTGGGTTTATGCTATTTTGTCTCAATGTTGTTAAAAGTTCTAGAGCCTTTAATGAACTTATTATGCGAGAAGAATTAACGTAACCGTAACTGGTTTGATTTCTGGGCAGCTGTTTCACTTCATTTACTGTTGTCTCCCCAACTGGTTCTAGATTCGCAGCATAGTCTCTAACTGATTTTGGATTTATATAGTGGCCTCTAACTAATTCTGGACTTATAATATATTGCTTCATTGTTGTTAAAGAATCGAGAGTCTTTGATGATCTAACTCTACTAGAGTAATTTACGTTTCGGCGAAAACGATAACCATATTGAGTTTGATTTCTGATCGACTGAATCACATCTTTTACTGATAATTTTCCAACTGATTCTGGATCTTTATTTTGAATCATGGCTTGAGCTCGAGACACAGTCGATGCATATTTTGCTAAAGGTATATCTCCATCGTTGTTTTTCAAAAAATATTCAGCTCCATTCTTTTGAAGAAATGTTACGAATGCATCATTTGCAGTTTCATATGCAATATGTAACGCTGTATCTCCGTTGCTATTTCTTCCATTTACGTCAACATTTTTCTTTCTAATCAAATACCTGGCGCAGTACAAGCATCCGAATAACGCAGTGTAGTACAAAGGTGTATTACCGAAACCATCTTGTTTATTAGGATCTGGAATTTTATCAATTAAAAACTTAAATATTTTAACACGCTTATTTTCGACTGCGTAAATCAGCGAAGTGTATTTTTTCGAATCTGTGGAGCAATCATCGTAAATGCTTGCTCTTTTTCCAACTAAATATTTTGCAATATTGTAATATCCCCCTTTCACAGCATTGCACAGAGCCGTTTGGTGATTTTGTACAGCGTTGACATAAATGCCAGCTTCTTCAACTAGGTATTGAGTAATGTGCATTTGGCCTTTTAACGCAGCGGTTTGTAATGGATTACATAACATCTCTTTTTGAGTGCCAATGAAATACTTTATAATATTCAGTTGGCCGTGTTCAATAGCTTTGCAAACACCTTGCTCTATTTTTGAAGAATCTATTATTTGATTGACAAAAACATATTCTACAATATTTTCAAAACCGTACTCTGCGGCCAAATCGAAAAAGTTTTTGTTTTCAAAGTCTATAGCATTTGGATCAGAGCCTTTGCTGAGGAAGAACTTCACCATTTCTAAGCTTCCGATCTTTGCGAAAATACTTAAAGGTGGTCTTCCATCTCCATACCATGCAGTCAAATTTAGCCCCCTATCTACAAAGTCATAAATTATATTAGCACATAGATGTTCGGCTGCTATGTCAAACGGTGATTTACCTTGCTTATCCCGTTCATAAACAAGTTTAAAATCTTTATCGAGAAATATTTGCGTAACTTGTGAATGACCACGTGTTACAGCCTCATGAATGGGATATCGACCAGCGGAATTAGCATCACGAATGCTTCCGCCATTTTCTAAGAGATACAGAACTGTGTGAGATCTACCTGCAGCAGCTGCATAGTGCAAAGGGGTGGAACCATCTTTTGTTCTGGCTTTAACAATTGCGCCCTTCCCAATGAACATAGGAACTATTTCGGGCTCTTTTCTCATAGCCCCTAAATGAAGTGCTGTGTATCCTTCCTTTGTTTCGGCTTCAATAATAGCTCCCCTCTGCAACAGTTCACGGATAACTTTTATCAGTCCAGTAGCTGTTGCTAAATGCAGCAGCGTGTAATTGCCGTCAACGAGCGAAGACAAATCAATAATTCCAGTTTCTATCAATTCCAATGCTACATCCGTATTTCTGTTAAATATTGCAAAATGTAATGGAGTCCAATGATTTTCACTTGCTAGATTTGGGTTAACTCTTTCCTTAGCATTGACTAAGTTTTGGACGATCATCAAGTTGTTTATCGATGCTGGAGCAAGGGCTGCGTAATGAAGAGGTGTTAGCTTATTTCTATCTTTGACATTCAAATCTATCTTTTCACTTCTCATTAAACTTTGGACAACTTTAAGGTCGCCGTTTATTACAGCTAAGTGCAAAGGTGTTAGTTGGTCCTTTTCTGACTGAGCATTTACATCTGGACTGTATTCAATTCTTTCGACAATAGTTTCAACAATAACGTGACCTCCACTAACAGCTGAATGAAGTGGTGTAAATCCTAATTTGTTCTTTTCATTCACGGTTTCATTTTTCAATAGATTTCTTACGCAATCTAAATAACCTCTCCGACTTGCAAGATGTAGTGGAGTAAGTAATTCATCATTCGTCTTAGCATTTTCATCTGCTCCATTTTCAACTAAAAGATTAACCAGAGTCCCTCTCCCAGCCTGAGCCGCTATGTGCAAGGGCGTGTAACCCTTATCATCTCTCACATTTATATCAACCTTGTTTTGAAGCAGTACTTTTATAAGATCATCGTGGCCAGCAAGGGCAGCTGCGTGAATAGCACTTCTACCATTTTCAAAAACTGATCTAATATCAGCGCCATTTTGCAGGTATAGATTTACTTCTCTTAAAGCAACTTGTTCTGTTGGATTTCCCGCCGCATTGTAAAGATCTCTATTGATATCTTTAAAATCGATTTCTGACTTCTTTATGATTCCTACTAATTCTGCTTTATGGTTATCAATCTGCCGAAATATCAGTCGATCTCTGCGTAAATCTGTGGGCATTCGTAAAGATGGATTTCCTTTTTCATTGATTTTAAAAATTTTCCATTTACTTACTCTAGAGTAAATGTCCCCTCGTTTGAATTGCAGAGCATATTTAACAACACTTCCCATTTTCCAGTCACTTCCAGGATTTTCAATACCTTCTTCGAATGATATGGTTATATCATTTTCCGGGGTTTCAGCAATTATTGACAGATTGATGCTTTTAATTTTATTTTTCAGATCTGTCAGAAAATTTATCTTCGGAAGCAAGGATTTATCTCCGGAATATTCCTTATTTCTCGTGACTCTTTCAATAATATGAATAACTCTGTCAATCAACGGTTTTTGATGCCCAGCCAAAAAATGCGAAAACATGTTGAACACGTCTTTAATAATATCAAGTTGATCATTAAACATATCAAGTCTTCCTAATTGATAATAATAATTTGCAAGATAATTATGGTGCCCAAGGAGGAAAAACATTACAAAAGCATACGTTTGTGTTCCTTGAAATATTGAATCAATTGCTGAAAAAGGCACACCGTCTTCACCCTTTTCCAAAATGTAAGATATTGTATCTAAAAGTTGAGTTAAAGGCGCTCGCAACTGAGCTGGAGTTCTTACATCTCTTAGTTTTTTCAAAACATTATCCTCATTTAAGAGTTTCCTGATGTAATCTTCTTTTGGTAATCTATTTATTTCTTTCATTTCTTCCTCATAATAGCTAATAAAATTGTTAATAGCAAAGATTTTATTATTGATATCTACATTTTTAATAGTATCTTTAACGTTCTTAAATCCCTGTTTCATTTCTTCTCTTGCAGTCTCAATAATTATTAAGGTGGTGCTTACTTTTTCTGAAATTTCGCCAAGTGTTTCTGTCATTTTATCCAATTTTCTTTCAACCTCGTTGAATTTTTTATTGATAACAAGTTTAAGTTCATCGAAGGGAACTTGATCACAATCCAAAGCAGTTTGAGCGATGTCTAATCCGTTTTTTACCAGATTAGCTACAGCAACAGTTCCCTGTGCAACACCTTTAGCAATATCTCCAATGACAGGTATAGCGCCAAGAGCATCGCCAATATCGCCATAGAAATCACTAACAGCTCCAAACACTCCTGAAGATATTTCCATATCTTTGCACTTTTTGTCTCGTTCTTGCAGTTCAGCTTCATTTATTTCATCGTCTTCTCGTTTTAAGCGTTCCAAGAAAATATTATTATGGTTCTTAAACGAAATAGGTTGTAAAAGAGTTTCGTTCGACATTCTGTTTTTCGTAAATGGTATCTACAAATAAATTTTGTATATTACGAGAGCTAGATTTATGAATTTGAAAATTTGTTGGTTATATAAATAATTTTAATCTTGTAACATGTGTTGTAACTTTCGGCACATATGGTAAATGTCATGAAGTAACAGTTGTGAATGATGTTAAAGAAGAATAACCATTCGTTACGGGAATTTTGTTTTTCGAAATTGCAATTGTTTCTTACATTTTTTTTAAATACCATATTTCCGAAATGTCACATTACTTCAAATGTGACAATCTTGTTATAGAATGGATGGGGAAAAAATGTTGTATTGTGTTTCTAACATCTTGAAATAATTTTTTTTTACAGTTGGTTATAAAGATTTTCCCTTTTTAATAAAAAAAATTTTGAAAACTCAAGCAGAAAGTACAACAACAAGTAAAACAGATTTCAGAGAAAAATGTTTTTACGCCTATGAAACATATTTTTCTCTGAAAGTTGTTTTATTTCTTGACGTACTTTCTGCTTCCAATTAAAATTTTAAAAAATGACAATCTCGATGCAATCACGGCTGCTAACGAGATAATTTAAAGTATAATGTTAATAAAATTTTAGTTGATTATGGTTATAATACATGTTATATAAGCCAAGTATACAAACCAAATATTGAAAAAATGAGAATGATTAAAAATAAACATAATTTTTTTAAATGAACTCTTATTTTGTGAACACTGAAATGGTGATGATTTTATTATCGAAACCCTGGAAGTTAGGATTTGTAGCATTAAAGCTTGAGGCTAGAGATGTACTAGGCACGAGTATATAAGCAGACGCTATCAGGGATGGGACACAGAGAAAATTTCTATTGGCGTTAAAGGAGCGTTCTCGACCATCGCCAAACAGTTGTCCGTCCATGTTTTTGTTTTGTTTTCGGTATCGCGTATCTATCATTCACCAAGTTAAATATGGATTCGACATTTCATAGTTTCAATGAAGCGGATCTTCGAAACAATTTCTCGCATGTCATTACCAAAAATGATGGGAAAATAATGGAAAGTCATATAATGACATCCAAACCGGGACAGATTTTCCTTATCCTGTGATTATCCGGAAGCGGTAACAAAATTTCAGCACCCGGTACCGGGGACCCGGAGGTAGTTTTAAGTTTTAAAACTTTGAATCGGGTACCCAGTGCCGGATAAAACTCATTCATGTTCGACAGATCCATGTTTGGACTTGCAATAACCTTAATAATTCACAAATACAACTGTAGTTTTGGAAATCCGAGTATTAAATCAGTTTCTAAAAAATCAAGCTGAAATAACTAAATTAGGCATTGCATATCTTACTCTTGTACAAACTTTTAATCCAATGGAATCTTGGTAAAGTGGATACCTTTGGGACAGAGAAATATGTTCGTTAATGGAAAGTTTCGACGTAGGTATAAAAACATACAAATTCAGAAGCTATACCATTGAAATTCAGAATACTGAAAATTACTTAAACTATACATGATAGTTAAATGCATTCGAAATAGGGAATAACATTGATATTTATTTCAAGTTAATAAAATCATAATGAGTAAAAGTAATAAATAACAGCAAAAAATACGATGTATAGTACTCTTATAATAAATTTGCTTTGAGAAAATGAGTAAATGCAGTAATATGATTTTATTATTCGGGTTTGCTGATGATTTAATATTTCTCTGTAAGTATAATTAAGAAGCAGTTGAAAATAAAACTTTAAAAAAACATAAATATTTTTTAATAAACGGCACATTAATCATTCTACTACGATAACTAATTTGAAGATTAATTTCTCAGTATCTAAAAACCCACATTAAAGGGCCACACTAATTGTTTTAGCAAAAATATAAACAAAAGGCATTTTTTCGGAGGGTAGTTTTTATTTTAAAAACAAAAGTAGAGCCTTTTTTTGCATAATTAAACTCATTATCTTAAAAAACTCTTTTATAAATATTTTATTACAATCTCAGTCTAAGCTTATTTACATTTGTATCAAAAAGAAGCATACATGAATAAAATTAGCCATTGGTAACTTTAAACTAAAATTTTTACTTTAAAGCTTATTTCTTTCCCTTTTGCTTTCTCTTTTTTCCGACGAATCTGGTAAAATTCTCTTATCATCGAGCTAACCCATGGGAGGTTTTCGTTTTTTTTTTCTTCGTGTGAAGTAAACACGCGTTAGTTTCAAAGAATTTTTTTTTTTTTACATGAAAGCAATTTTACCTCAGATATGTTGTTTGATCTTGGAGATTTTTCGGGGACAGAGATGGAATCGTAACATACAATGGTCATAGGAATACCATTGTATGTTACGATTCCATCTCTGTTAGCAAGGTTAGCATATATTGTAGTCATTGTAAGAACAGCAAAGCCGCTGTATGAATCTTTTGTTAAACACAGGTTTTAATATAAAATTTCTCACCGAGTATCGAAAAGTTTAAGAGATTTTACTGAGGTAAATCTTAATGCACATTAACTAGTCTATAATTATCGAAGGATAAAAAATTGAACAGTGATAGTGAAAGCATTTTTGATTTAATTTATTGTCATTTTATTCAAATCTATATATATATTTCTCTTGAACGGCACCAAAAAAAAAGCCTCACTACAACTCCCCGAATGACAATGTTAGAAAATCGACTAATGATTGCTGCTAAAAATGTCACATGGCAAATCTAGATGAGGTGGCTCAACATATAGCGCTTTTAAAAACGGAAACGGAAATAACTAGAGAGAGCATTAGCATGTTGTTCAATTCAGCTGCTGCAATCTCATACTATTAAGCTAGGCAGAAGTGTGTAATCTTTGTCGATGGATCTCTATTTTAGTATTTTGTCGAAAGCGCTTTTTTTCACGAATTTATATAGACTAAACCAGTTTTTAGTCATGGACAACTTAATGTTGGCCTCTCTAGGGTTAGATCATTTGACAGCCTAACAATGATAGCTCCAAGTCCAGAAATTTATAATTGTGTGTTTAAGGAAGTTCTTAATCTTTAATAGTAATTATTTTTTTGCTATTATTTTGTTGCTAAGCCCTTAATCTTTCTCAGTATTTGTTCGCATTTAGTATTTATTGCAAATTAATGTTTAGTTTCTGCAAGTTTTTCTTTTGTATGTCAAACTTCTAAGACTTATACTTACGTTTTTAACAAAGTTGTGAATCGTTCATGGTTATTATTTTTTAAAAACATAACGTTTTGTTTATGCAGGTTTTTCCATTGCAATTCACTTATTTCAATTTTTAATAGACTTAATTATAACCAAAATTTTAACATTTTTGAAGAGATATCAGTTTTAGAAATTTTATCTTAAGATTTTATACTATAGCACATTTCTAATAGGTTTAACGAATTACATGTCATTTATTTGAATTCAAATTTATTTTAATGACTTAGTATTTACTAAAAAGATGTAATTTTTTTTTAAAAAAAAAGTTGTTATATGGATTTGAATGATTGTTTTGAATTCTTAGAATTTTGTGCATTTGCAATGTACCTAAGTTAGTAGCGAGCGAAGCGAGCTTGGTTTACGAAGCAAACAATATAAGATTTCGTAGCAATTTTCGGGGGTTGGAGAGCGTTAGCGAGCAGGGGGCGCAGCCCACTAGTATTTTTAAAATATCCGACGCTTAACAGAAGCTACATTATGTTACTGAAAATTTAAGCGAATCAAATGATATTATAATGTTTCAATATTATTATAATGTTTACTATTAGAGGATGTTTCCACATCTTAAGTCTTGCGTTAATCACTCTACATCCGAACAGTCATCCCAAATTTCTTTTAGAAACTTTTTTTTAAAAAACTAGTTTTAAAAAAATCTAAAAATAAAATGCTTATTTTCATCTATGTAGTCACGCAAGAAATTTACATAAAACGATATTTTGTAAAATATTTTCTCGATAGCAAATTAAATAATTTTCATATTGTTTTCCATTAATGTTCACGGCTTCAATTTTGCTCAGGTAAGAATGACATCGCTTCTAAGCTCTTCCAGTCTTTAAAATTGCGTCAAAAGAAATTTTTAATTTTCTATATATTTAAAATTTTTTTTTTGTTTTTCTTGTTTCGGGTCTGAAATGAAAAATTAAAATTCACAGCATATTTTTATTTAAATTCGAAGATAATATCTGCAATAGATTCACGGAAGTCCAAATTTAAAATTTTCAAGGGGGATGGCAAAAAAGTGGATTTCTCAAAGGAAAAGATCGTCCTAAGTAAAAAATGAGACGGTTCTCATTGAAGGAAAAGATCTGAACTATATGATACAAAAAAAAATTAAATTCTATAAGAAATTTATATTAATTGAAATTTAATTTTATTTAAAACTTTATTAAAAAAAATCGAGCATCGAGTTTCGTAATTTGTTAGCAAATGTTCTCATTTAACTTCGTGTTGATTGTCGTATTTTTAGTTCCTACGATATACCCACCATCCGATATGCAGACCTACTCACACATGGAAATTCATTAATTTATTATATGTAGAGGAGATTGGGGTGGAACCGAGTAGTGGGGTAAATCAGGTACCTAAATTTTACCCAAATTAGTTCTTTTTTCAAGAAGAAGGGCCTACCATATTGGCACGTGTTGTTGTTGTTGATTGATTCAACACATCTGTGTGGATTTGTTTTACCATGTCAACTCTCCACGCCCCTGATATTGCTAACTAAGAGATTAAGATTTTGGGAGAAGATTTGAGTTTTTTATTTTTATTTTATAACCGTCGTTGAACAGTCGACCCAATTTTTTGGGTTTACGACTACTAATGTTCAACTCCGTAGTCTTGTAACTTTGAACCCAATTCAGAAGACAAGGGAACTGCAGGATCGAGTATTTGGAGAAACTTGCCTTCGTTAAGGACAAAGCTAAGCCGCATTTGCGTTACATGGAGAGGAAGACCTCGAAAACCTCCCACGGTTAGCCTGACGGAGAGGGGACTCTAACCCATGATCCATCTACTACTGAGGAGATTTCACGTCAGCACTGCGGTCGGTGCAAGCCGGATGCGGAATTCGTATCGACTGGGAACCCGGTTCGCCGAATTGGAAGGGGAACGCTCTATCCCCTGAGTCATAGCTGCTCAAGATTTGAGTTAAATAAGGAATAAATAAATTTTGAGTTTGTTCCTGACTAAATGTGCTATTATTATTTATTCTTATTTTTATGTTTATCCTATAAGTCTGGAAGAGTTTATGTAAATTAGCTTTAAAACAATAGTTTATTTATATGTATACATATTCTTTCAAATGTACATTACATAAAATATATCAATTAGTGACATGTATCTTATTGAGTAACAGGAAAAATGATTTTAATAAATGCTTTTACATTTTTTAATCTTAGTTTTTTTCTCAAAATTAAGATTTAACAAATTTTGTAGACAATTTTAAATGTAATTCATAAAAAATATTATATTTTTTCTTGTCTTTTACCGTGCGTAATTTTTTTAATTATTGAACAATTTCTGCTCAGAATATTATACTAATAATTTTCTAGATGAAGCTCTACTTTGGGATATTTTTTTAACAAATCTTATAAGAAAGATTGTCATCAATAAAATTTATATGTTTAAGATTTGAAAATACTTTACTTTTTTTATAATAATCAATAACAACAAAAAACCATATTTATTTTTGAAAGTAATAAATACTATTTTAAAGTTTTACAATCTTAAGGATCGAAACACTTTGTTAAATTATTTATAATTTATTTATTATTATTACTTTATAATTATTACTTAGCTAAACTATTTAGTCCCATTTTTATATTATATGCATCGTTTATTTGTAAATAGTTGCAGTCTTTACGTTTGTATTATTTCCACTTGGAATTTAAATGTATATCATACGATACTGTAAGAATTCCTTAGATCATATTTTAAAATAGCTATTTTATGACTGTGCCAATAAAATTATAATTTCTTTATTTGTCTCTTTTCTGTCGTGATCCAATATTTTTATTATCTCGTATTCGTTTCCATATTAAAATCTATAATTTCTTATTTTCAAATGCATAAGTAAATAAATACTATTTGATTACATATTAGAAAATAATAAATTATACGCTTAAGTGAGGTTTATTATTTTGATATTATAAATAGTTATGAATCAAGATTTAAAATTGAAAGAAAAAAATTTCTTATTTCATTTTCTATTGTGAAATACACATAAAATTGCTTCATGAAAAGCATCAAACAGTCCTACAAGTTCATGTTATTGAGTTATAACGTGATAAATAACATTGATTTATTCTAATAAAAAGCTAAAAATTCAATACTTAAAAATATTTTAGTGCTATTAAAATAGCTAAAGTAAAAATATTTCACGTCGCTCAAAAGTTTGAACTATTTATTATAGTCTCTTTAAATACAAATCTGATTGGTTCGCTTACACTTTCGAGGATGACGTTACAAACCTTCTGAGAGGCAGTGACTCTCGGTGGCTACTGCTGGCAACATGTAGATGATACTGAAGTCAGCTTCCAATTAAAAGGAAGAAGTTAGTGAGTTTGGATTGGTCGTTGGGTCGTTATGTTCTATTTCAAATATGATGTTGAAATTAATGGTTCAGCTATAAAATGGCGAATTCGCTTTCTCAGTATATATTCACTTGGTTAGTCTTTAGTTAAGTTACTTTAAACTAGTCTGGGTTAGTTTCATGTGTTTGTGTAAGCTTTCAGACGTGTATCCATATGCGTTCAGCATACATAGTAGAAATTCCTTGGATGCCAACTGCTCCGATGTCTGCAAAAGTTTTTATGAAGTGGCAGGGTAATAAAAACTAAAATGTATAGATATAAAGTTATTTTTGTCAACGCTCTGAAAGGCTGCCGCCAAATATCTGATGCAAAGTGGAGTTCGCGTGAACTTTTCAATTGGTTAAGCGTAGTTCAAGAAAGAAGCGTAGTAGAAGAGGATCATTTGCATCGCCTATCGCTTGCAGTGTTATAAATAAAAACAAGAGTAACAATTAAAATAGAGAAGGATTATTTAAATTTTCTGATAAAATAGCATCGCTAGTAAAAAAGTGAGCGAGGGGTCAAATGTTGGAATCTTCAATTAGCATTTATGTTTTAAAAATATAGTTATAATTTGATGCTGAGAAATTTTGGGCTTTTTAATAAAATTGTGGGACATTCGTTTTTCTGTGAGGGTCTTTAATTTAAAATCTCTCCGTATGTCCCTATTTTGAATAAAATATGGTACACCACACATCTATCTAAGAAGTTTATTTTAGAAAACATTAAGTTTCTTAACATTTGCTCTATAATTGCATAAATAATTATAGGTGTGAGGTAAGTGAGATAAATATAGCGTTTGTTTTTAAGTGACATTTCAGAATAGGGACCTAATAGACAGCTTAATTTATTGTATATTTCAGTAGCCTTGGCAATAATTTTATTAACATGATCCATTCCGGTTCAGGTTATTATTCAGTGTAAGGCCCAGATAAGCGGCCTTATCAACAATAGAAATATGATTTCTAAAAAAGAGTTAAGGTATTATTAATTGTACGTCATCTAGGTTTTTTAATAATGAGTAAATTTGATTTTTGGGAATTAATTTCGACCTTCCAGCTAGAGCACCAAGTTTTGATTTCGTGTATTTTTGTCTGTAGTTTATTAGTGGTGCTAGTAACAGATCTGAATTTGACTATAAAACCCGTATCATCTGCAAAATAAGCAGTCAGGCTGATATAGTCATCTCTATCGACAGGAAAATCATAAGTGTAAATAATGTATAAAATTGGGCCGAGTATATTGTCCTGGAATACCTAAGCTCTTCTTATTCTATTGGTTGAGAGAATATCATTTATTTTAATTTTAAAGGACCTGCTTTTTTAAATAGTTGCTTATGATAAAAATTTAGTATGTTGGAAAAATTTAAATTTATTAATTTATTTATAAGACCGTCATGCCAAACTCGGTCAAAGGCTTTAGTTGCATCTAACATTAGGAAGGCCGAAATTTGTTTAATTCCCCTGCTCAATGAATTCTATTATTCGCGTAAGTTGTGTCGAGTCAACGCCTCCTATAACTGAAAGCCTCCACACGGTTTCTTTTCTTATCGGTAATCCGATCAGATCACTATGTAGGTAAACCAATTTACGAAAGAGCCATTTAATAGAAAATCTAGTAAAAATTAGAAAGGGGTAGCAAATATATGTCTAAAAATTTGTTTAATTTATGAGTGTAATTGGTTTGACTTATTTACTTGTCAACCACTATAGATTCAATTCTCAAATATATATGATAAATTTCTCTTATTTACTATTAAAATAGAAATTGGGTTCATGCTCACAACTGGTTCACTTTTTAAATAGTCTGCGCAGACTACTTCTACAAAAGCGTGTGGGGGCTTTCTAATGTAGGAGGATATGATCGACCCCCTTCAAAAGCAATTTTGTTCATCGGAAAGAATGCGTAGATGGAATTTAAGTTTGCTGCAGATGATATGGTCAAATATTTTAATAAGTTTTGGTAATAGACTAATAGGCCTGTGACTGTGTGGCTTAACTGGATCTGGAAAGAGCATAATGGTAGCTTCATTCATAAAGTAATGTGATTACTAACCATTAAGATACAAATTTTTTTAATTTCATAGTGGTGTGGTAATTGTTCATGGCTTCTCAGAGGCGATATTGGAATGCAAAAAGGGTTTAAAAATAAATCCTGTAGAATTTTTTTTTTACTTAAAGCGAAGCAAAACACCATCGTATCAGTTAAAAGTAGTTCGACCAGGAGAAAAAAAAGGCGTTTTAACCGGGGGAAAAAATCCATTTCTAAAATTATTTTTCTGTTTGTTTCTAGAAGGAGTAAAATATCTGTGTTTCTTAATCGATTCCATAAATCGATAAAAATCAAAACTATTTCATAGCTGGTCATATATATAACTCCTTTTACAAATAAGATAAAAATTATTTTACTATCGGTTTTTATCTCATTTTCAGATACGGCTCCCTTTCGCAGTTTTTCTTGTGGTAGTAAGTCAATAGTATTGATAACAAGTTGAATCTGATATAAATTCAGATTATCTTTCTGCAAAATATTTTATGAAGAGGTAGAAAATTAAATACTAAATCTTACAAACTTTTATCAACACTTTTAAAAGATTAATCTTAGAAAACTGGGGTAAAGTAATATTTATTATACAATGAAGGTATATATATTATATTTGACTATTTATAGGTGGTGGTGGGCAAAATGACTTCTAATCAAACTTACTAAAATAAGAATCATATATCAAAACACAAAATTCACTACCACTAGAAAAAAACTTTTCACAAAGAGAAGCAAGTAGGCACCTCTCTTATAGTATAGATAGCAGTATATAGATTAATTTCTTACATTAGTGCTAATTGTGGTGTTTTCAGGTTTTATTTATCCCCCCCCCCCTTTCACAGACGAAACCCTACTTCAATTAAAAAAACGAAAGAAGATCATAAAAAAACGTTATGCTATTTCAGTCTCGAAATTTCCAAATCAAATTTTATTTCAAATATTAAAACTTGAACATTTTCAGTGCCTTATAGTATCACTTAATAAAGTGGATTGATAATTTCAAATCAAACATTATCATTCAGCAATTTTTCTCCAAGAATGGAAAAGAACAATTCTGATTTAAATTTAGGAATTTTCTGCATGTTATCATGTAAAATGTTCAATAATTTATCTCTGTTTCCCCTCATTAGTGCTTTTCGTACTGCAGAATACAAGTCAAAAAGATCGATATCTTCATCAGCAGTTTCCATAAGTGAATCGAAAATTTCAACAATATTAAGAGCGCCAGCTCGAGCTTCAAGTAGTGTCATAACGTTATCTTTCTTGAAGTTCAATTTATTGTCGGTGATTTTTCTTAGTAATAAATCAACTAAAAGCATTGTACCATTTATATCCATATTTTTTATTGCATGAGGCTCGTAAATGTTAGAGCCATCAGAGTGATTTGGAATTGCTTTGAAAGAACTTTTTATATCGTCATTCATATTAAATTTCAATCCACTGTTTAACTTATTTTCCGCTTGAAAAGTTTTCATTGGAAAATTATCAATATCGTTATTAGACAATAAATTTGCTCCTTCTGAATTCAGTTCATCAGTTTTCAAAATTGAATCTACGTTACGTTTCAAAAGCAAATAACTTTTTGGGGTCAAGCATTTCGGTTTGACACCCTGCTTTTGAATAGTGTCATACGCAGTTTCACCGATGCTGTTTTTTATCGTAACATCAGCGCCTTTACTACAAAGAAAATTTATAGCTTCTAAATCATTGTAGTTTGCAGCCACGTGCAATGCAGTATTCCCATCTGTGTCTTGCGCGTTAATGTTTATTTTATTTTGCTCTACGAGAAATTTTAAAACATTTTTTCCATTTGTAACAGCTTCATGTAAAAGTGTACCACCGGATTGAGTTTTGACATCAACCTTCGCCCCTTGTTCCACTATATATTCTAACATTCTAAGTTGTCTTCGAATGACGACGAGAGTAATAAGAAACATACCACGAAAATCAGAATTGACATCAACGCCTTTCTCAACTAGATATTTTACGATGTTTAAACGATTACTATCGGCTGCTGAAAGGATTGGAGGTAAAACTCCAGGTTCTCCATTGGCATCCATTTGTACCTCCTCAACTAAATATTTAACAATGTCTAAGTATCCAGCTCCAGCTGCTGTTTGTACAGGATTACAAACGTAATTTTTCAGTTGTCCAACTAGATACTTAACGACTTCCATCTTACCAAAGTTGAGAGCATCGCAAACTGCCCAATAGGCAACTTTCTGAAGTCCTTTACCTTGTTGGGGTCTCCAGTTATCATTAGAGTTGATATCGATCTTATTGTTTTCAACGGAATACTTAACAATGTTAGTGTGTCCATTCTGAACAGCGAGATAGAAAAAAGAGTTACCTTCAGAGTCCCTGATGCGGACATCAGCACCAAGTTCTAAAAGGCTTTTCACTGCTTCTAGATGTCCTGAAGTTGCAGCCACGTGCAAAGGTGTTAGACCTTCCTTCGTTTTTGCATCAATATTTGAACCCTTCTTGTGCAATATTTGAATAACATCGCTCATACCACGGAAAGCTGCTGCATGGAGTGGAGTTAATCCATCATCTGTAGTTTTATCAACGATCGCGTCTTTGCTTAACAAGTCCAAAGCTATAATTGTCAGACCCTTTACAATTGCCAAATGAAGTGGCGTAACGTTCCCATCAGTTAACAAGTTAACGTCTACATCTTTTGCTTTTAAAAGCTCAATGGCAGCATCATTATGCTTAAAAAATATCGCGTAATGCAAAGGTGACCATTTGTTTTCAATTGCTTTTACATTGACATCGATTCCTTTGGTATTGACTAACAAACGAACCATGTTTGAATATCCTACCATGCATGCGAAATGAAGAGCGGTCATATTGTTTTTATCTCCAGCATTCACTTCCACTTTAGTACTCTTCAGTAATGATTCAACGACTACCTTATCATTTTTCATTACTGCAAGGTGAAAAGGAGTAAGTCCAGCATTGGATTTAGCATTCATATCAATTTCAGGTCTAGCGAACAAAGCTTCGACTACTTTATAACCACCTATGACAGCTGTATGCAAAGGAGTAAACCCATCGACATTCTTTTCATTTACATTGAGCTTTCTATGAAACAATAGTTTGCTAACTGTTTTTTCATAACCTTTTCGAGTCACCATATGCAGTGGTGTTAGTTGTAGAGAAACTGTTTTGGCATTTATATCCGACCCAGCGTCTACTAACAATTGAACAAAATCATCTCGCCCTGCGTCGGCAGCTAAGTGTAGGGGACTGTAACCATATGAGTCAGTAACATTAACATTCGGATCATTAGCTCCTAATATGAAACGTAATGTTAATACGGCATTCCCGTGTTGCGCTGCGGCGTGTATAGCTTTCCTGCCCTTCTCAAAATCAGTTTCAATGTCTGCTCCATTTCGTATCAACTCTGCCATATCATCTTGAACAGATTGCTCGTTAACACTTCCGGCAGCGTCATATAAATCCCTATTGATGTCCCTGAATTCAGTAGTGTAGGGATCAACAACACCAACAAGTTTTGGTTTTTCACTGTTCAACCTTCTAAAAACCAATCTTGTTCTTCTATTTGGATCCACTGATAATTTCAAGAAAGGGCTGGCCTTCTCTTGCACTGTAAAAGACTCCGTCCAATCACTGACTTTAGAATATTTACCATCTTGTACGTACTGCAAAGCATACTTCACTTTGGTTCCTGTCTTCCAGTCTCCTATAGGAACATACACTTGTGATAAAGTAAATGAAATTTCAATGGTGTTTTCAGGGACCTGTTCTATTATAGGTAAAATCATGTTCTTAATATTAGTTTTCATAACATTTAAAGAATCAATCCGTTGACTTATGTCCTCATTCGTATTTTTATCAAAATTGCTTTTAAATACTGTATCAAAAGTTTTAATAACCTTATCAATCAAACCTTTTTTGCTAGCAGTGCCAATAAAAGTAAATTTAAATCCATTAAATGTAGTTTTTATCAAATTGAAATAGTCATTAAAACTTTTCAAGTTGTATCTCTCATAAGAATCATTTGCTAGGTAAGCGTATTTCTCAATTAAGAAATACATTACCTCAACGTATGCTTGAGTACCATAAAGCAAAGCATACAAAGCAGTAAATGCTATTTTATCTTCTCGATCGTCGGGAATGGCATAGTTTTGCTCCAGAATTTCGAAAATGGCTGTTTGTAAACTATCCCCTGTCGGCGTTCGTGACTTCTTCAAGTAATCCAATAATTCTGATTCTTTTAGGTCAGAAACATAATCGTCTTTCTCTAAACTTTGAATTCTTTCTTTCTCGCTCTCAAAGTATTCTACAAAGTTCTTTATCTTCAGTACAACTTTTTCAATTTTTGAATTCTCGATGGAATCTATGACTCTTTTAAATCCTTCTTTCATTTCCTGCCTTGTTCTCTCTACAGTGTACAGCGTTTTGCCCACCAGTTCAGAAACCATGTTTAACGCGCTAGTGATTTGATCAAGTTTTCTTTCCATTTCGCTGAATTTTTTGTCCATTATCTCTTTGATTTCATCGAAATTTATATCATCACATTCCATAACAGCACGAGTAATATCTATACCGGCTTTTGCAGTATGGCTTGCTATAGCAGTTCCTGCGGTAAAAATACCTGTTACTTCGCCAATCACTGGTATGGAATTTACATCACCCGCAACGTTAGCTGCAAGTTCGGCTGTTATCGATCCAATTTCCAATCCTTTGCATATTTGTTTCTTGGTAAGTTCTCGCTTCACCTTCTTCGAAAGTGACTGCGTTTTACCATTTGAAAGCAACATTTTTTGTTTAAGACCCATGTTGTTTCGAAAATAGTCTACCATAAAAGATGTACTATTTGAAAATTATCAAACAGTGTGTAACTAAAAAAGTTCTTTTGTAAATGGTGAAGTTGCTTAAAAATCTTGTGCTTTTATTATTTCTGACCATCTGTCGTTCGATTCTTTCTAGTCTTTTCTTTCTTCCAAAGAACATTTTTTGACGAATTAACATTATGTGACAGCTCAAATGCTACCCTGTCATTTTTTCTTACAATAAACTATGACCTTTATCCATAATTTTGAAACAATAAAGCATTTATCATTCATACGTCAATAACGTTTCATAGAAGCTATCAAAAACAACTTGCAAAACAGTAATTCTTTAAATGCATTTTTCATATAGGATATAAAACACCTGAAAGTTTTTAAAACATGTTTGAAGCGAAAAAAAGCTACGCACTTGATTTTCTGAAGTACTTGTTATAAGAAAAATCAAAAGTTGTGCAACTATGTATAACAAACACAATTCATACAGTGCGGAAAATATCGTATGGTATTAAATTTATAGAAGCTTCTTCTTTCGAATGAAAAACTCAAAAATCAAGATTTTTATTTCGAATTATTTTAACCTTTAGTATAATCACAATCTTTTTTAACTATCACATTTAATCAAAAACTTTATGTCGCAGCTTCTTTTAATTTCGCCCCATTAGGTTGGGAATTGCTGTTCTTAATAATAATAAATACAAAACAGTCATAAACTAAACTACCAATTTTATATAAATGTTTTTATTAATATTATTTTAAAATGAGTGAGTTATTAATCCATCACTTGAAATCGTGATCTAGTTGTTAATCAATTTTATTCTAACAAAAGCTTAGCTCATCCTTCTGCGTTTGCAGTCTGATGATCGAGCTTGTCTTGTAATTGAAATAACTCAAAGACGTCAAGCATATTTTGAAAAGTGGGTTTCTTAAGTTAAGTTGAGAAAGTGATAATGCATTGATAACTACATTATATAAATGATATTGTAAGTAGATACTGGATATCAAAAAAAAAATTCAATAATCTTTTATCAAAAACTTATTACAAGTTTTTAATTTGGCTGTTTTCTTTCAAGTCTGGTACTTAAATAAATAGGACTCCAATGGGTTAAACGGATTTTTTTTAAATTTATTTTAATATATTTTATAATCGCAATCATTTTTATTTTAACGAATTTAACTTAAAAAACGAAGTGCTGTATTTTATTATTAATTCAATTTATATAGGTAATTAAAAAATTCCGCGAAGTAGCGTGGGACATTCAAGAATTTAGAGCATTGCTGACGAAGACAGCAATCCGAAGATAATCTGTGAAATCTAACTAATATTAAAAGGACTCATCGCCAAAAAAATAATCAACTTGTAATTAAAACTATTTGAACTGAAATTGAAAATTTATTGTATAAGAATTATGTGTTAAGTTTCTCATAACTCTTATTACTTTTAAAATTTTTTAATTATTCTGACCTAATTAAACTTTTAAAATTGCTGACTAAATTTTTCGCTTTTGCATGAATTTACTACTCTTGCTCCGATTTCATGAATTTACTAGTTCTGCTATAAGGGTCTTTTGACACCCAACACACCATTCCAGTTTTATTGTACCTGTGATTTTGGTCTTAATTTTCCCTTGTATTGCATTTTTACGATTTCCTCAACTTTTGTTTTGGGTGTTATTCTGTGCATAAATACATGACGAAATTATAATCTCTGTACTCGTACTTAAGAGTTCTTTGACTCAGCTGTTTTTATTTATTGTATACAGTGCAGCTTTGAAGAGAACTCCGCCAGACTATAAGTCTAGGGCTGTCTGCTGCTACGGTAACAAGGAAGAGCACATTTCTAATGGGGGTGGAATGGAGATATGAAGGTGTCGATTGGTTTACTTAAGCTGACCTATGCAAAGATCAAGACAAAACTATTCACCTAACACTCCTATTCGAAGTGACTTTCTCTCGTAACCATGGTAACCGCCGCGAATGGAAACTGATGTCTGGAGGAGTTCGCCTGAAAGCCGCATAGTATCTTGAATTTGTTTGAAGACTGTTGCCATCCAGTATGCAAATCTTAACGGTATAATAAATGCCACGGGGGTACTTCACCGGGTCCCTCGGCCAGCACTCTCCAGCGCGGGCCTGAGCTGCGTCTCCTGAGGGAGGGTATACGAGATTTTCCCGTATATAATAATCCCTGGGGAGGGAAGAGTGCATTTTAATCCTTAAAACTATTTGTTAGATATAGCAACCACTTTAATTAAATGGTTACTACTTGCGTGAACGTGTTCAAGTGATTTGTTTTCTTGATCACAAATAATAATAGACGTATTAAAACTAAAGTTTAAAAATTAAAATAGTATTTATGCATTTTTTATTTTTATTTTATGTTGTGCTCTATTCAAATTGAATTAAAATTGTGTCGTAGGAACAAATCGTAAACTACTGTTGGTTTGATATAAACGATAACCATAGGCGTAGGTTCGGAGAGGGGGAATGAAGCCTCAAATAAAGCGATGAGTTCGATTTTTAGAAACTTTACTATTTAGTTTTTAGTTTTAAATTTAGCTTCATAAAAACGATACCAGTTTCAGCATTTATTATATATTGCTTAAAATACTTTTTTCTATTTAAAAAATATTGTATACGCCATCCTTCTCCTTAAATTTCTTAAACACAATGTCTAGGTCCATGAAAATTGAATTATATAATTTAAATTTTAGCACTGTTTAAAAACATACAATCGTTTTGCAGTAGTTTTTTATTCGTAGTTTATAGTTTCAATGGGGGAAAATATGTTAAAACAGCAAAATTAATTCAATGCATATCAGTTAACTAAAAACATTGAGCAATTGCCCAATGTTTTTAAAAAACTGGAATTATAGCAATAGTTTTTCTAGTTTCTCTCCGTTTACCGTCGCCATATAATCTCTGATAATAAGAAGTTTATTTAGTTTTAACTTCTTTCAAGAGGGTTTCTATGATCTTAAAAAGGAAACAGCAGCAGAGCAATTAGTTTTATTTTTTCAGTGCTCTTTGCTTTGGGGGTTCGGGATTTTTTTTTTTTTTTTTNTGGAATTATAGCAATAGTTTTTCTAGTTTCTCTCCGTTTACCGTCGCCATATAATCTCTGATAATAAGAAGTTTATTTAGTTTTAACTTCTTTCAAGAGGGTTTCTATGATCTTAAAAAGGAAACAGTTTTGACAGCAGAGCAATTAGTTTCATTTTTTCAGTGCTCTTTGTTTTGGGGAGTCGGGATTTTTTTTTTTTTTNTTTGGCCTCTGTTTTTTTCCCCCGTGATTCGCTTTTATCACCTCCTATTATTACCATTTCACATGAACCCGCGAAAGCCTTCAGACTCATACTGAGCAGCATCTAAGTCCAAGTAATGGGCACAATTGAAAATATAAAACTAACCGAAAATAGTATGATGAGAAATACAAATCTATTATTTAAAAAAGTATCAAATGACAATAACTTTCATTAGTTTCCTGTTAATGGCAATTTAAATTAAAATATCGTAGATATTTTGCTTATCGAAGTTCGCATTGGCGAAATGTGAGTTGTCTTTCTTATCAGAACGCTTGAACTAACAATTAATTTATTATAGGAAATTTGAGTTCCTTTATCTAACTTTAATTTGTTTATCTGACTAAATTGAATGTGTTATTATTTGTTGTGTCTAGCCCTCAGTTGTTAACAAAGCTAAATCAAGTCCATAACACCAGCAAGTCAAAGCATATCAAGCACGTAGAGTAGATCCACAAAAAGATCTCGAAAAAAACCTAGGCCGTCGAGCATTTGGTCGGGTGTTGCCTGACAGGCAGTACACTTAGAATTAGAGGTGGGAAAAAGTGCTACTTCTGCTACTGTGATTCAAGATCGATATAAAATTAATCGATGTTTTCTATCAAAAAATTCAATTAATCGTTATATTTTTTTAAAATTTGGTATAAATAAATCGATTAAATATTTTTAATAAATAATAGATATAATTAGTTTTCATTAAAGTCAATAGATATCATCAATATTTTACGTAATCGATTAAAACAAATAATCGTTATACTTAGTAGTCCTTTTTATTCTAAGTGTCGGGATAGTCGTTATCAACAATTTCAACCTTCATCGATAAAAAGAAATCGAGAATAACACGTAATAGAATTTCGCATTGCTTCAGATCTAGCAATCTTTCATACTCTGAAAATTAAATTGCTATTTTAGAGCACTTTCCTGTTTCCAAACGTCCAACATTAGAAATTCTTCTGTTTTGTTCTTATTTTTGGCCATTGCTCAATCCTACTTAAAACACACTTATCTTGTTAAAGCAGTCGCCAACCACCAATCACCATGTTCTGAGATACAGACAGCACCTATTTTTCTGTCTCGGTCCTACACCCCTCAGCCTTTCCCTGTATGTTATGGAGCTGAAGATTGTTTTACACGCACGAAAACTATCCGTATATAACTACAGATACGTAAAAGTACAGTCTCCTAGTACTATTAGCCACTATTTAAATTCAATTACTGTAAAGGCCTGTTTAGACGGTCCAATTTCTTGTACAGAGATTGATTGATATTGATGGAAACTTGTTTTGCTTTGAGCTTGGATCGTGTAAACAATCATCCAAGAACTTGGTCCAACTTCTTGGACGATAGTAGAGCATGGTCTACTTTACATCCAAGTTTTTTCTCCCTTAACCAATCAGCGTCTTAGGTTTTGTGACGTCAACAAGCAGGCAGCAAATTATGTCATTTTGTTCTCTGTTTTCATTCATTTTAGTCCAAATAAATTGATGTGTTGCGGTTTATTTGTGTTATTATGATTCTATTTGAATTTATTTAGTAATTTTAAGCTTTTGTAAGTATTATATTATAATGTTGAATATGAACAATGCGCATGCGCAAGTTTTTCTTTCAACGAATCAGTGACATACAAGAACTTGGACAGTGTCAACGAATCATCCAATTTCTTGGACAGAGAAATCCCTCCAATTTCTCGGATTCAAGAACTTTGACCGTGTAAACAGGCCTTAATACTTTAACTAAAATTTACAAATTCACGCTTTCTTGATATTCATCG